CACTGAGCCCAGACAAGGACTCCAGCCCCAGATACAGCATCATTGACGACAATGGATAAGGAGCTCTCTGCTTTCTCCAGCTGCTCCCATCTCAATGGCTTCTCTCCATTCACCTCATGGCCCTTTGTTCGCCTCCAGTTGCCTCCTGGACAGCAAAGCTGAGGACTCCTTTTCAACCTTTGTGTTGCCGAGAGACGAGCGGGAGCCAGACAAGCTCAGGTTTGACCTGGATGCCTTGCGCTTCTATGGAGATGAGCGTTCCTTGGTAAGAGGAAGCTGCTGATTTGCTTCTCCCCATTGGGTGGGAGTCACTAAACACTAACTTGTGCTGAATGTGTCCCTCAGATTTTCATCACCTGTCACCTGAAAGTTGCTGCAGTGGATCAGGGAGATTCCAGGAACAAAGCTTGTATTTTCCAGAAGCTGCACAAGGTGTAAGTGTACACCCCCTTCCCACTGTCTCCCTGTCCCTCGGTGACACTGTTGGGGAGAGTTGATTTCACTGTGTTGTTGATGGGCTGTTTCTCCTGTTTAGCTGGACCCCACTGGAGGAATCAAACAGTGACATTTGTGCCTGTTGCCATGTGGGGAACTGTGGGAGCACAAGGGAGATCCTCTTTCCCTCCAGAGGTAGGAGAGACTTTGGACCTGAACATGGTAGGTCATTGACCCTCTAGATATTTTGGCTACAACACCCCCTCCCTGTCCCTGACTGAAATGTTTCTTCTTTCAGAGAGTGAAGCTGGATTGCAGTGGGAGGGTGAGGCCTCTCTCGGCCCCCTGCTCATTCTGGATCCTGAGCTGATCAGCCTCGCAACTGAGCCCCTGACTGAGGTTTAGCAAAGGATGCAGGAGAGGTCTCCAGGCGGTGAGTTGTCTGACTGCTAGTTTCCCTCTTTGTCCCTGTTTCCCTCAGCAATCATTGGTTTCTCCTTGTTGTGTAGGTGTGCAGTCTGAGCTGGTTGTGATGGTGGCCCTGACAGTGACAGCTGCCTCCCTGATCTCTGCTTCATTGATGGCCTTGTTCCTGTACAGGAAACAACAGCAGATTCAACTATTGTTGGAACAGTCCAATAAAGCAGTGTTTCCTTGTCTCTTATTTCTGGCAGCTCATTTTGTCTCTGCATCCTCACATATTGGTTGATATTCCTGGGGTTACATTCTGAACCCTGAAGAATCCTTCCTGAATGTGTGTTTACTGAAGGTATTGTTTGGGTTTTGCTTCTTGCAGTGACGACAGGGGCTTCCCCGATACCCAACACCTCATCTTTACCATGGACGTCCAGTCCCTATACACCTGCATTTCCCCATACAGACGGCCTAAAGGCCCTCCGCTTCTTCCTGTCCCGCAGGCCCGACCAGTCCCCCTCCACTGACACCCTCATCCGCTTCGCCGGACATGTCCTCACCCTCAACAACTTCTCTCTCAATTCCTCCCACTTCCTACAGACCAAGGGGGCAGCCATGGGTACCCACATGGGCCCAAGTTACGCTTGCCTCTTTGTAGGTTACGTGGAACAATCCCTCTTTTGTACGTACACTGGCCCTAAACCCCACCTCTTCCTACGTTACTTTGATGACTGTATCAGTGCCGCCTCATGCTCCCACAAGGAGCTTGAACAGTTCATCCAGTTCACCAACGCCGTCCACCCCAACCTGAAGTTCACCTGGACCATTTCTAATAAGTCTCTCTTTCCTGGATCTCTGTCTCCATCTCAGGTAACCGCCTGGCAACCTATATCCATTTCAATCCCACCAACTCCTGCAGCGACTGAATACACCTCCACCTTCCTGCAACAAAATGCCATCCCCAATTCCTTTGCCTCTGCCACATCTGCTCCCAGGATGAGGCATTCCACTCCCGTACATGTCAGTTGTCCTCGTTTTTCAAGGACCGCAACACTGCCCCCTCAGTGGTCGAGAACGCCCTCAGCCCTGTCTCGCGCACTTCCCACAACTCATCCCTCACACCTGTCCCCGCAATAACAATCAAAAAAGAATCCCCCTCGTCCTCACGTACCACCCCACCAACCTTCGGATCCAACGCATCATCCTCCGACACTTTTGCCTTCTGCAATCCGACCCCACCACCAAAGACATCTTTCCCTCCCCAGCCTTATCTGCTTTCCGGAGGGACCACTCTGTCTCCGTGACTCCCTTGTCCGCTCCACACTCCCCTCCAGCCCCACCATACTCGGCACTTGTCCCTGCAACTGCAGGAAGTGCTACACCTGCCCCCATACCTTCTCCCTCACCCCCAAACCAGGCCCAAAGAACACTTACCACATCAAGCAGATGTTCACCTGCACATATACCAATGTGGTATACTGCATCTGCTGTATCTGCTGTATCCGTTGTGGCCTCTGCATCGGGGAAACCGAGCGGAGCGTCAGGGACTGCTTTGCAGAACATCTACGCTCGGTTCACAATAAACAACTGCACCTCCCAGTCGCGAACCATTCCAACTCCCCCTCCCATTCCTCAGACAACATGTCCATCCTGGGCCTCCTGCAGTGCCACAACGATGCCACCTGAAGGTTGCAGGAACAGCAACTCATATTCTGCTGGGGCACCTTGCAGCCCAATCGTACCAATGTGGATTTCACAAGCTTCAAAATCCCCCCTCCCCCAATTGCATTCCAAAACCAGTCCAGCTCGTCCTCACCTCCCTAACCTGTTCTTCCTCCCACCTCAAGCTGCACCCCCATCTCCTACCTACTAACCTCATCCTGCCCCCTTAACCTGTCCCCCCTCCCTGGACTGACCTATCCCCTCCCTAACTCCCCACCGACACTCACCTTTATTGGCTCTATCCCTGCCTCTTCAACCTGTCTGTTTCATCTCCACCTATCTTCTCCTCTACCCACCGCCCTCCTCTCTCCCTATTTATTTCAGAACACGCTTCCCCTTCCCCCATTTCTGAAGAAGGATCCAGGCCTGAAACGTCAGCCTTTCTGTTCCGATGATGTTGCTTGGCCTGCTGTGTTCATCCACCTCTGCACCTTGTTGTCTCGGATTCTCCAGCATCTGCAGTTCCTACTATCTCTCTAAAAATGGGAAGTCCATTTCTGATGAGATCACTTTGCACCATTTCCCTGCATAATATGAACACTAGTATAAACTGTCCTGAGTTTGCTCCAATTACATCGGCATTTGTGAACAAGGACTCCTTGCTGTTCAGAGTGAGTGAGATGTTGATCAGAGTGATCCTCCATACTGTATCCCTGCCACTTTACCCAGCCTCTGGGCATGGGTGTTATGGTGGCTCAGTGGTTAGCACTGCTGCATCACAGCACCAGGCACCTGGGTTCAATTCACCCTCCGGTGACTGTGTGTGTGGTGTTTGCACATTATTCCTGTGTCTGTGTTTACACTGAGTGCTCAGTTTTCTCCCACAACCCAAAGATGTGCAGGTCAGGGTGAATTGGCCATGTGGAATTGCCCCAGTGTCCAGGGATGTGCAGACGAGGTGGGTTAGCCATGGGGTTATAGGGTTACAGGGAGAGGGTAGGGGGATGGGTCTGGGTGGGCTGCTCTTCGGAGGGGTTGGGGCAGCAGTGTGGACTCGATGGGGCACCTTGGGCTGCTTCCACACTGTGGCAATTCTATGGGACAAGTCAAACTGGTAAATGAGACACACTGCTCTGACTCGTCTTGTATTCTTCAGAAAGAATCTCCAGTACAAATGTCCACCCTCACTTCTAAATATTAGTTTGTTTTTTAACAGGCTTTCTCCTGGGAGTTTTGGGCTGATGTCGGAGACAGATAGTCCTGACTCAAGCATCTACTGTACAAATCCCATCCGAACATGAACACAGGTTGGGGACTCTGTTTTACAATGTGTGGGCCTGAAGACTCATCCAGCCTTCAGGCCCTCACTAACACTGGGGTCTGCAGACGGGCAATGAACATATGCCTTTTCTCCTGCATCAAAAATGATAACCAATTGCTGGTGACCTAATTAGAAGGATGGCCACAACACAAACCTGAGTTACTGCCCAAGCACCTTCATAAACTTGAGCTGTGGAAATTCTGTTACATTGAGTGATGTGTTTCTCTATAATGTGTTCTCTTCCTCCTAATGTCTTCACACAAAGGTACCAGGATGTTCACAGTGCCTTGGAGAGTTTCAGCACCCCAGATTTGATTTAGCTCAGGCAGTGCACCAATCATTGTCAAACAAAAATTTCCTCATGGCTGAGGGTGTCACAGGCTCGTGTTTATTGTCCAGAGGGCAGTTGTAGTCCAGGCAAGGATCGCAGTTTCCTTGCCGAAAGGACATTGGTGAACGAGATGCGTTTTCTCCCAACAATTGGTAACAGACTCTGTCATTGTCATTATTAGACTCTTAATTCCAGATATTTTCATTGAATTCAAATTCCAACATCTGCTGTGGTGGGATTCGAACACAGCTTCCCCAGTCCATCACCTGGGTCTCTGGAATAACTGTCCAGCTACAATACTACGAGGCCATCATCATTAACCATTGCATTCAATCACAGGCAGAAAAAGAACAAAACTGTTGAGCTTGTCTTCTGACACTGTTATAGAATAACTTAAGTCTGGAGGAAAAAGAGAGGGTGTTCTGTACATCTGAGCACTTAGTTTTTGGTGTGTGGAAATATTAATGTGTTCATCCTTTCTCTGATAAGCCAATGGGGCTGATTTTGCTTTGAGCTCACACCGTGCTGAAGTGCCTCTTTGAGGGGTCTGCTGCTTAGGACACAGGGCAAGAACTGTCAGGGCTCTTAGTTAAGTTGGGTACAAAGTAAAATCCATCACCATTCCACTCACATAATTGCTTGTAAATTAAGTATACTCCAGGCACTGCGTTTCAAATCTTTGCTGGTATTCTGATCACTCATTTTCCCTCAGTGAGCAACGCTAAACGTGAGCAACTTGTGGGAGCTTGCAGTGCCCAAATTTCCTGCTGCCTTCTCCCTACGTTACCACAGCCGCCACACTTCAAAGTCCACGCCATTGAGGTTGTAGACATGATTGCTGAGCCGGTGGGTTTATTTGCAAACGTTTTGTCGCCCTGCTAGATAACATCATCAGTGCACCTCCAGTGAAGCCTTGGTGTTCACTCTCACTAGTTATTTATATGTTTCGGTTTGCTGGAATGGTTGGGATTACTTCCAGTTCTGTTTCTCAGTGGTTTGTATATCAGGACAGTTCAATCACTGAGAAACAGAACTGGAAGTGATACCAACCACTCCAGCAAACCGAGACCTATAAATAACAAGTGGGACGGGACAGAACACCAATGCTTCGCCAGAGGCATGCTGACCATGTTACCTGGCAGGGTGATGAAACGTTTGTAACCAAACCCACCGGCTCAGCGAGCATGTCTACAACCTCATCCACAATCCAAACTACAAATCTTTTCAAACTTTTCACCCCAGTCTCCGCGAATTACTTTCAGCACGTTCTGCAGTTGACACTATCAGAATGCACTTTCTTTAAGCTGGCTTGGACAGAAACCAGTCATGCATCCCCCAGAGACTCCCAGTAAGCTTGGCTCTGTGTTACATTAGCTTGATATTAGTCCAGCAGCTGGTGTTCTGCATTTGCAAGGAAGCAGCTGGAAGAATGTAGCCAGAAAACAATGTTTTTTCATGGAATCAGATTTCACCAGTAACCAGCCACTGAAGGTTTTGGGATTGAGAGCAGGGTTGGCACTCAGTGCGTCAGCTCAGCTCATCTATTGGCACGGACCCTGGCATTGCCTTGTGCATGTGGACATCTCGCCTCATTCCTTTTGCCTTGCTGCTTCCGATGACTCTTTCAATGTTTGACGCTTTCAAAACTGTTTTTATTGAGATCCTGCCACTGCGCCAACCTCAAACTAAATAGGCCCAATGGTACAAGTTGTATGCCCTGCAATGCATCACTCTCAGATTGTGGTTGGGGCACTTTACTGCTACTAGCCTCTCTTCTTGACCAACCTGATTGGTGGTCAAGTAAAACGACCAATGAGTCTCAACAAGAAGAGGCCTTTTTTTTTAGAAAAACAAGGTGTCATTTAGTGATTGATAGTGATCACTTAATTCAGCAAGTTGTTCCCACAATGATGAGGAAATCTCAGTTAAGA